TAACCTCTTGTTTCTTCTTCCACAGACAATGATAGTTGTTAGGTCACAGTTTAAATCTATCATTCTTTCTTTGGAGGTTTCTAGTGTCGTTTGTTAAATAAAACACTTAAATGATTTGATACGAAGGTTTTAAAACATTGTTATCTCTCTGCTGCCATTTAGTTGCCTTATCTAAAGTGAAATAGTTCTCTGTCAGCTTGACAGTAGCTATTTTGGTCACAAAAGTTAAAAGTACAATGGTGTTCATTGCTGACACAACTCATATGACTCAAATATTATTTACAAAGTGCAATAAAATGTAGCAGTCATGGTGTTGGTAGCACTACGGTGTGGTGTGGTGCTGGGATTCGTGTGTGTGTGTGTGTGTGTGTGTGTTTGCAACATTTATCCATTGTGGTCACATGAGTGAGAGATGGGAAGTATTTTTGGCAGGTCACCAGACAGTGTTGCCTTATAATCTAACAAATTAGTCAGTTGATTTATAAAAGTAATCCTCGTTTTGCTGATGTTTATACCGAGTCTGATTGTCAAAAGAACAGTTGCGCTGAGGATGTACATAAAAACAAAACAAAACAAAACAAAACAAAAAAAAAACATCTGATCACTGGACAGAAGTGTAAAAGTTCAAGATGGTAGCGAAAACAAAAATATATATATATGTATATGGGCTGTTTTACTGAATATAACTAAGTTATTCAGTTTTTCCTGTTAAGCATTTACACATCTGACTAAACTCGACACGGTTGTAAACCGCTATGTTAGGAGACGAGGTGCCGTCCTCTAGACAAAATGCTAGAGCGAAATCAGGTCCTGATTCCTAAGCAGACATTATGAAAAACACGTATTTGTCTGTGTGTCTCTGCAGAGTGGGCGTTTGTGGTGGCCGTGGCGCTCGGCAGTGTGTTGTTCCTGCTCCTGGTTGGAGTTTGCTGGTGTCAGTGCTGTCCCCACTCCTGCTGCTGCTACGTCAGCTGCTGGTGCTGCCCCGACACGTGCTGCTGCCCCCGACACCGTGAGCATAAACACACACTTGGACTGGGAAGCAATTCATGCCAAGATTATTGATGCCGACTAAAAAAAATAAATTACGGTTTTCTTATTTTGGAAGTGAGTATAATTTTTTATTTTTTTATTTTTTTAGTGTATGAAGCGGGTAAAGGCATAAAGACTGGCGCCTCCACCCCTCAAACACCAGCCTACCCTCCATACTTTGTGTCTGGACTTCCAGCCATGATCCCCATCGCTCCGCCCTCCCTGGTGGACAAGGTGTCGACCGTCGCTCCCTCAGATGGGACTCTGGTGGCAGCAGGTGAGGTTTATCTTTTCTTCCTGCGAGAAACAGATTATGGGTTTGAGACTCAATACGAACTGAAAAGTATTTAGAAAAGATCTGATTTGGAAAAAAACTGATTGTGTAAATATTGTTGGATGCATCTCTGTTAATATTAATCAGCCAAATCGTATTGACTACTGTAAAATCATATGCTGAAATTCAAAAATATCCCTCAGATTAAGAATTTTCTTGGTTGCTGAATTAAGCGACATAATGCGAAATGAACTAATTGCAGTTTGATTCACGAGTTCCTGTGTCCAATTTTTGCAAATCCCACACTTTCTGTTCTTTATATTATTATTCTGACCTTACACATAATGCACACTTTCAGTCTTTATTAATAAAAACTGTCTTATGAAAATGTGCCATTAGTGAAGTAAAATAACACTTTGAATCTGCTGATTCTCCACCAAGCAGTCCAACCTAAAAATAGTCTGACTCTGGTCACCTCAATACCAGTCAGTGGAGCAGTTTCAGGTTGTTTTATGTGACATAATGCAAAAGAAAATATACAAATTCACTGGAACTAGGATTTCCACAGTGTTTCCCCTTTTGTTGCGGACAGTTTGCGGAAGTAGCAGATTCTGGTGACAGCGGCAGCTCGTTGTAAATGAACCAATGGCTACGTTCGGCGTCACTCATGCTTGCTGTCTGAAAGTAGTCTTTTACAATTATGACTGTTGCAGTATCTCCGATGCCCGTGCAAGCTGTAGGGATTCCCTACCGCGTACCTTCACCACAGGATCAAAACTCGCTCAGGGTGCTGCAGTATGTAGAGAAACAGCTGGCTCACTTCAACCCTTCTGGGTCCAACAGCAAACAGTGTAAGGAGCTTCATAAACCCACTCTGCAGCTTTACTACTCAAGCCTGCTGATGCTATCTGCTTGCTGCATAGTTTCATTTAGGATTCTTGTTTTCCTCAGTCGTGTCCCAGCATGCCTCTCTGCTCTCAAATGTTTTGCCTGCTGGGTTTTCTGTTGTGCACATGTGAGAATGTGGCAGATGGTCATGCCAGCCTATCTGATTTGGTTTTACACAAATATTATTCACAACTTCTGGTCATTCTCTTCCGGACTCTTGACTTTCTTAGACTTCTGTATGCTGCCTTTTCAAAGATTCTTTTTAATGATTCCTCTTTTTATAATGTTTAATTCTTTTTTTTTTTTTTTTTTTTTAATCTTTCCCGCCTGTAATCAGTCGGAGTTGAGCTCCCTCCACGAAGGAGACACCAACTTCCACCAAACTTTCAGGAATGTCCAGAAGAAAGCTCTGCCCACCATCCCTGATCAAGACTCCAGCCCGGAACCACACGGCTACCGTGAGAACCGCAGTCCAGACCTGCAGCGCCACCATAAGAACCCCTCATCACCTCATCGCTACCGTCACGACCCTGACTCAGACCACCTTGACAGCCAGGACGAGCCTCTGCTTCCACGGCGATACAGCGACGACCTGCCGTCTTCCTCTCAGTCGCACAGGATTGGTCGAAGTCAGAGGCAGCAGAACTCGAGTGATGAAGACAAACACGGCAGGTGAAGGAAACGAGCGGATCCTGGAGTGGCTTTATTGTTAAAAACAAGAATGCAATAACCTTCTGTGACGTTTTGCAGGTGGAACCCTCGTTCAGAACATCTGCAGAGGAAGACGTATCACTCTTCGGGACGGACCGTCTCTCTGGATGAGCTGGAGGAGTTTGCTACCACCTACAAGAAGAGAGGAGGCAGAGGGGCAGAACGGAGAGAAGAAGAAATGGTGGAGTATGAGATGGAGGTGATGGAGTACGGTGGATATCCCTCCCATCGCAAAGGTCCTCCTCAGCATTATTACAGCAACGGGGACGAGCTTGACGACAACAGTGAGCATGAAGGGCATACCAGAGCAAACCATAAAAGCAAACACAACATAAGCCCTCTACCTTCTCCCAAAAAAAGGGGGATCACACGGGAGAGGGAGAGGGCCGAGCCGCCTCCCCCCAAAACGGATCCACCGTCGACTTCCTCTCAGGAAAGGGACTACGATGCCACTTTCCTGAACAGCCTGTTGGAGCGTAAAGCGAAGCTGCGAGGAGTTTCCCAGGGGAGAAACGAGGCCCGGTCTGAGGAAGATTTAGACTGGCCCTCAATAAGGAGCGGCAAAAAAACCAGCAGAGAGTCCAGTCGCCTCTGCAGCCGCTCTCCCAGTAACAGGCCAGAGGTGGATTCGCTGTCTCCGTCCGACTCAGAGAGAGCCAGAACTGAAAGACCGTCTCCGCGGCCGCCCCAAGCAAACGCCCGCTCCCCTCCGCCTCTTCATTCCCTGCCCGCTCACAGAGAGGAGCACAGGGACCGGTCCCGGAAAGTGGTGAGGAACATCAGATACAGTTAAGGTCCCTGTTTGAATTGTGAGCCAGAAATACCAGCTGAGCAAAACAGGTTTAAGGCATAATGGTTGAGGATTGTAAAAAAAAATGTTATTGGTATAAACTTTAATGCATTTATTCATTCACTTACATGCGAAAGTGTCTCGATTTGAAAGTTAGTTTTCTTTATGGTGCCCATAGAGATTCAGTTAACACATAAGATCATTTCACCATGTGAGACAAAGTATTGGCTTTTGGAGTTAATATCTAAGGCTACTTTTGATTACCTACTTCTTTACTTTTCTTTTAGACCCAGTATATTTAGGTCAGACATTATTATTATTATTATTATTATTATTATTATTATTTATCTGTAAAACTGATGTTTGGTATCCCCTCTTAACTCACTGTAAAGTTGCTTTCATATTCTGCTACTGTCAGCAATAACTACAAAGATTTCAGTTCTGCATCTTGAGGGAGATTATTGCTCTTTGCACAGTGATCTTGTCTTTCCTAAATATTCTTTATTTTTTAAGTTTTTAATTGAACCAAGGGTTTGTTATCCTATGTCCCTGCTTCAAGAGAGGTCCTCCTATCTCACCAGGGGAAAAAAGCAGCTCATGGTCTCTGCTGTTTTGAATTGATGTCCCTGGAATTCCAGTCTATGACCTACTGATACTGGGATGGACTGCACTGTTGTAAAATGTCTGTGTAATTATGAGCATCCTTCAAATTTAATATTCCTGTCTACTCTAGTCAAGGTACCGACCCACTTCACAGAATCTCACGTAAAAAAAAAGTTATTAAATCCCTAAAAGTTTGATTTTGTGGCAGAAAAGCAAAGCTACATTTCTATAAATTAAGTGCCCTCCTGTGTTGAGTTTTGCTCATGTGAATCATCAAACTCACCACATGTTATTAAAAAAATAAAAAATAAAAAATAAAAACTTACTTCAAGGTTTGAAAAGTCCAAGCAAAACTCTGTGATGCTTTGGTAGCTTTTTCATTGCATCAAAGGTCATAAAATCAGCTACTTCCCCAAATAAGGGTGTTGTTTCTGCTCTAGGCACTTGGTCGGTGTGCCAGATTTGACAGATTCCTACTTTTTATTTGTGTTTCAATATTTGATTTTGAATTTAGCTGACAAAATGCCCTGCAGTTGAACGTGTGCCGAATCTTTGACGGTAAAAGTCGATAAATCTGAAAGTGTTTACTCCTTTATCTCTCCATTGATTCTGTGCTGGGTGGGGGGCGGTAGGTGTTTTGAAAACCTACAGTAAGTTTTGTTGTTGTACCTTTGACAGGTCAGGTTCAGATGCTACCAGAATGAAAACTAGGTAGAATACTCTGTTCTGTATCCAACTTCTCTCCATAACATTTATAACTGGTTGCTTACTCACAGTCACACCTGGGGCAGAGTGGTGTTCAACCTCAAAAAACACTTCCTGTTTCTGGCCTTTAAATAAATAGTCATTAACAAAAACAATGTGCAGAACAGTTGAAGAGCAATTTGTCCCAGGTTCTCCGTCACCATTATTAACCTCACGTCACTGCTCTAATGTTCGCCCTTGCCGTTTCTCCGCTCAACATTCACTCTTTTGTGTTGTCCTCACCAGAGCACGCTTCTCAGCCGAGACTCTCTTATCGTCTGACCGACTTGGAGCCAAAGACCAGAGAAAGAACGGAGCCGAGCGAGAGTGCAACTGCGAAACCCCCACGAGGAGCCAGCCGTCAGCTGAAAAACGATGGCGGAGCAAACTTTGAGTTTGAGTTTTCCAACCTATATGCAAAGGTCAGCTGCCAAGGAGGATCCTAAGAACAGCTGGATCAGTAAAGATACAAGGGTGACAGTAACTCTGTGATATCACTTAGTGATGAAGTCACTGGCTGTGTCATGCATATCTCCGCCGGACCAGCGCTAATGTCAGCGGGACGTGTAGCCTGGGCCGCTCCTCTCAGCAGGATGCAGTCCGTCTCCTCTTCGTCACTTTAGGAAAGCGCTGCAGCAGACACTTGCTAACTCTTCAAGCACAATGAGTGCATTCATTTCTATCTAATGAGACATGGGAGTAGAAGAGGCCACCAGTGGAATAGATAAAAACGACAACACGCTCATTGTAAACAACACCCCCAACCCCTTCACACCCCATCACTGCATCAGAAAACAATGTGCATGATGTCACTTATTAACATTTAACAACTAAAGCACTTAGGTTTGAAAGAGATATTTGACAGATACTTATTTGATTTTTTTACTTAAAGCTAAAAGTTGTGACAAACATCAGCACCGTTATAAATGTTTTATTAATAATGAAGATTGAAATGACATTCATTTACAGCACTGGGCAAATCTCTCGTTTCTTTGTATTTTCCTTTAAAAGGAGCCAAACCTCATCTCAAAGTATTACAGCATCTTTCTGTTGCTCCACTGACTGAAGTCCAGGTTTTCTGCTACTGTTCATTATTTATTATCATAACAATGAAATGTGTACTATGTCATTAAAGGTATTTTTTTTTATCTAAACCTAAGTTAAATTGCATAATTCATCTTCACAAAATCCAAGATCCATAAAAAAATTAATGGAATAATCACTGTAACCAAAAATAACATTACCCTGAACATACCCAGGTAACAGTAATGAGTTATGAGCAGCTAATATCCAAATTAAAGCTGAAAACTCTTTACTAAACAAATTAGTTGTTTCCCTGGGAAGCAAAATATAAAGAAAAAAACAGGTTTGCATCGTGCTGTGCCTTTCTACTAACACGTCTTATGCTTGACATTACATTGAAGTGAAAATAGAAGAAGTAACTGGAGATGCAAGATTGTTCTGACACAACTGTCATAATATTACACAAAAGCATAAATCATTTCAAGTTAAAACGTTGGCTGTGCTCTTAGGATTTCTGTGCTTTACAGTGCTCTCAGTATTTTTTGTAAGAGGAATTTTTCTGTGTATTTAAAAATGTATTAATGGAATAAACCAGAAGCAAAAGATCAAATGATTTTATTGAAAGGAAAAAGATATTTAAACCAACTTAGCCCTCTTGAAAAATTTGTTCAACCGCTTTGGAAAGGTTTTGATTCTGAGCGACCCATTAAAGTCACACTGCCGGTATAATGTTCGGTATTCACACCATCCAGACGTTAGAAGATGCTTCTGCCCTGAAAATCTCCCATGGAAGCTATTTTTGATTAATGAATCATTAAACTGAAACGACTGAGGTTTTCAGTGCTTTAGATGTTCTGGATTCTTTCATGACCTCCTGAACGAGTCACTGATTCGTTCTCGAAGGAACATTTGTAGACCGGCCACTTCAGGGAAGAATCGCCGCTGTACTATGTTTTCTCAATTTGTGGATAATGGCCCTCACTTTGGTTAATTGCTGTCCAAACACAACAAAATTGCTTTGTAACCTTTTACAGACAAACAGAGGTCAAGAACTGTGTTTTTCATCTGTTCCAAATTTTTCTTTTCGATTGGGAGATGATGTGTTCATGTTGACTTTTACTGTGTTTCATGATTCTGTGGGTCCCGCACTTTTCAGCTCTAGGTTTGGCAAAGGAAATTAAATGTAGCTTTTCAAAGAATGTGGATAGTCACAGTGCATTCTTTGTTTTAATAAGGTGGGGAAGGACACAATTAGCCTCAAAGGGACAAGTTGGTTTGGATAGCCTTTTTTTTTTCTTCAAAACAAAATTATAATTTGAAAAGAGCATGTTGTCTTTACTCAGGGTATGTTTCTTTGATATTATTTTTTTTACTGATTTGAAACTTCAAGTGTGGAAAAAGTGAGAAAGGAGAAATCTATAAGGAGACAAATGCTTTCTTCTCAGAACCTCATATTACTGCGGTTGTTTTTAATCATGTGGCACATAGGGATTAGCAAAGTATTTCACAAATGAAGGTATGGCTTAACTTCGCTGACTGACCTCTGACCCTCTGTTTTAATTGCCTGTTCTATTTCTGTTTTTGCAGTAAAGTATGAAAATGTTACTTCTAAATCCGTTTTTTTTTATTTATGAATGTTCTGTTCATTTGATTTTAAAAGATAATGTTTGTGTTTTTCATATCGCTTGATGCTAATTAATCCAAGTCCATAAAGCAACACAGATTTGTTACTTTTAGTTTTCCTTTTACTTTTGTTTTTAAACACTACAACACTTTTCTTCCTTATCAAACCCATCTTCAGACAAGTGGAATAACTTCATATTTTCAGTTTGGTACCGACTTCTGTGCGTCTGTGTGTGCTTTTTGCGTTAGAGAGAGAGAGAGAGAGAAAGAGAGAGAGAGAGAGAGAGAGAGAGAGAGAGAGAGAGAGAGATAACTCTTTTTTTTTCTGAAAAAAGAAACAGTATGTGATTGAGTGTGACTCATGTCCTTTGTCCATTGTTGTTATCCTGGAGCGTCACACACCATTCTGCCAGTTCAAGTGCAAATATCTGCCCAGATTTTTCATTACTAATTCATCAATATTATATTTTGCTTCAAATATGTCATATCATGACATGTATGTCATGTGATATATGTCATGACATATATTACATATGTATGTCATATATCCATATGACATATTTGTCATAAAAATGTTTTGGCAAATAAACAAAAATGTAAATATCTGACTTTGCAGCACCATTAAAAATGTACCTCTTGTCAAGACGTGCTAAAAACCACTGAATGCCCTGATTAGCAAGGATTGAAGGGGACCCAAACGCAGTGGAGTGACAAAACAAGAATTTTAATCACAAAGTGACAGAAAACTCACAGAACTCTGAGAAACACCAGGAAGACAGCAAAAGATACACACCACATTCAAGCATTATTGTTTTTGTTATTGTAATGTAAAGCATTATTGTAATTACTCACATTTTAATATTTACTACATATATTAAAATCTTTAATAAATATTTTACTATTTATAAAATAGTAAAATATTTAGTAAATAGTAAATATTTAGTAGCTATTTACCATATTTATTTATGATTTAACGACTAGTAAATAGTTACTATTTACTAAATAGTAATGATAATTTAGTTCAAAAATGAACTAAATTATCTTTGTAATTAATATTGTTTTTGTTTTTTTGACTGGAGTTGATTGAAGAACTTGTAAATGTTTAAACTTTAGAGAATCTATTGAGATTCTGCAAAGAACAGTCAAATAATTAAACTTTCTGAAATGCAAGACAATAAATCACTGTCTTATTGGTAGGTTGTGCAAAGTTTTTGACAATTTTAATAAAAACTTTTAGTTTTTAGTTCTATTTTTTTTTTTTTTTTTTTTTTTTTTTTTTTTTTTTTTTTTTTTCCAAAAAAAAAATTTTAATGGGAAAACCACCTCC